GTAGAAAGGTGTGACTGGTTGTAATGTGATCGAACCATTCATGCATGGTATTTATTCACACCATAGGCAAAAACAATCATCACTGAACACAATGGCATTCAAGAATTCTCATGATTAAGCATTGCTTAGGGGCCTTAAAGAAAAAGGAAGGAGGAGAAAGGCTGTGTTATCAGAAAGGAGGAAGAGGCTCCCCCTGTTGCTCAATATTTACAATAACTGAATATTTACACAAGTATTTTATGAGAGGTCACGACCCACCTGTTTTAAGGCCACTAGAAAGCTAACAAAACCAGGCACACGACAACTGCAATTGCTGAGTAAACAGAAGTCGTGGCACTTTCTGTTTAAAGGCAGAGGAGTAATTTCAAAGATGAGTACTGACATGATGCTTCTTTTTCTTGTGGTTTTACACCTCAGCCAACACATTTCTCAGGTTTCATTGTTTCAAACATGTACATCAAGAATTACAGAAATAAAACAAAAGCCAAAACCCTCAGCAGTAAAACCTGCAGCAATCACATGGTATAAAGAGCTGCAGTTTTAAGGGAGTAATTTGCAGGGGAATGATAAAGCAGTTCTATGAATCAGACATATTTGACTGCAGAGAGAACAGAACTATCTTGAAAAGTGTTAGCTTGAACCTGTCATAATTAAGTAGAAGGCACAGATGCAGGCTCAACACTTAGTTTAGGTAAAACTCAGTCTATCCTACTTTTTAATTGGTTTTTATACCATACAGACAGACTGTCACTGCTGCCTGAGATGCATAAAATGTATGGCAAAGAGATGAGTATGTAGACAGAACAGTATTATCAATCTAAAAATCTTTCAGGGTGTCTAATATTTCGAGCTGCACAAATACAGAAAACAAATATACTAAGACTTTCTCTTCCACTCTACCTCATCATGATAACAGATCAAGGGGTTTTCTCAGTATGCATGGAGGACTGGATGCTTTGTATCTTTCCCTTGGGTGACTCAGAACTGAATTTCTGTCTCCTGAATTACTGCAAGCACCTTCTGCTTGCTGTCCAACTCCAGAACTTCACAGATAAAAGATACTTCTGATTCCTTGTTTCTCCATCAGAGTGATAACAGAAGCACAGGTCACACATCCACTGGTCAAACAGTGGGCAATAACTCCACTGGAGAAAGGAAGTAGGGTGCAATGAGTCACTGACTCATCCTGCTTACCACTCCCACGATGCTAAATAACGAGATCACGGGAAACTGTTTTTAGCTTCTCCAGTTTTGTCCTCTCCTTCAAAATTACAGCAGAGATTCCAACTACAGTTAGAAAGTTGTCTGTCCTAAGCCTGGCTACCTGCTACTTTGGCTGCTCTCTCAGGTCTCAGTGATCTCTTGGGTGTCCAAAAACAGTGCTCTGCTTACCACTGCAAGCAGTCAGATGGATGAGCATCAGTGTCAGCACAGTGGGCCCAAGGCTAGCAATGGACCCTAGAGGATTTTGGTCGTAGGCTATCTTCGAAACCACATATTTAGTCTTCCTTTAGTTTAAAAAATAAAAAAAAAAAAAGTGTAGCTAGCTCTAACCCTAACATAGTCAATTGTGAGCTCCCAAACTGACTCAAGCATTGCTAGACCAGTTTTTGGATTGGTCCCATGCAGGCAAAAAATTTCCTGTAACACAATTAGAACATTCAGGCCTCAGATTCGGCAGAATGGGGAACTATTCAGCTGTTTACACGTGAAAATCAGAGCTGAGTTGACATTTTATTATGGTTTGCCGTGACTGGGGAGACCAGTCAGAGCAACAGCAGCAATTTGTCCAAGGTGGTCTGCTTAGTTTCTAAATTTCCAAGGCAGCAACCCTATACAACACTGCTTATTTAAACCTGTAAGTCAGTACCTCACCTAAAGTGCAAACACAGAAGTGAAACTAGGCAGATTTAAATACCTTCAGTGTGCTTGCACAGAAAGCTTTTGCCTCATCTTCACAGTCAGAGTTCTAGTGATTCCTGAAGCATCTTATGAGAACTTCTGTGCACCCACTGCAGGTCTAAGCTTTCCAGACACGCTGTGTTTCCTAAGGGTAAGCACAGGATGATTGCTGTGTGTTCCCAAGTGGCCCCTGGTCACTACAGCAGCTGAAAAAATATCTTGCTGCTGTCAAGACTACTCACATACCCAGCTTCCAGTCACTCTCCCTTCCCAGGGCAAGTGAGCTGCATCTTGTTGGCCGGCCACAGCAACACGCATAGTCCTACAGCATGTTCCAGACAGCCCTCTCCCATGGGCAAATTGTTCAAGCAGTGCCAGCCTGTTCCCAGTTCTTGCTAAAAATGGTTGTTGGAAGCAGGCAACTTGTCAGACTAGTTTACCTCCCCTGCAGTGCCACAGCTCCCAACAGGAAAGGAGACTGGCAAGGAAACACCACCTCATCACAGCCATGGCTGCCTCTGCTCATCCTGTAGCAAGACAGATGTGTGGCAGGGTTATTTCAATCAGCCTGTGTCTTGCCCCTGTGGTGCAGTGTAGGCATAGAAGTCTTGCTTTTCTGGTTGGGAATCACAACTCTGTGCTTATGGAGTAGGAATAAGACCACTATCAGCTCTTTACGTGAGTACTCATGGTGGGTATGTCAGCCCCTGCCTGAGCATGTTAACACACTTCTACTTGTGCTGCATGAGCAAGTTCAGCCACTGATACAGAAGCAGTTTTCTAGCTAACAGGAAGGGGAACAATTCCTGACATTTTTCAGAGGAGACAATTTTACAAAATCTCATTCTGATTTCAGTGGCATACTGGATGACAAAATGAATATTTAAAGTACATAATTATTTTCCCTAGAAAATAAATCAATCTTTTACAAGAAAGATGGAGATGCCAAGAATTCATCCTTCCTGATGTGGAGGGAAGAAACAAACCCAATGTTAACTTCAGAGTAGTTAGCCCAGGAACGTGTTGCAGCAGTTAAGAGACAATTTTGTGGGAGCAAGGAAAAATCCAAAAAAAAAAAAGAGCACCAGGAACTGGATACAATTTGAGCAGGAATAGTGTTTAAGAGATTTTGTATGTTTGTGAGGTTAACTATCCTTGTGGCTTATTAGCAGCACATTTCAGAGTCTATATTGGGACAGCCACAGCTGAGCTGCAGACCTCGCTATGCAAGCAGCACTTAAAAATTAAGGCTACTAAGCGTGATGCAGACTAGAAGGTAAACCTTTACTGCAGACATACTCAGTCAAATTGGGCTCATTACAGTGGTGACAATAAAAGCAATGAACCTAGTTACATTGAACTACCTATTTTTGTTCCCTCTATATTCACAATCCAAAAGGAAAAGCAGAAACTTCTTCACGTACTGCTGTTCAAGTGAAGAAAAGATTTACTCCCTGATACAATAACAATGCACTACAGGATCAAAACCCAACCTTGGTGTTCTTCCTGCTCTTAATCATGTGTCAAGGTTGCTACAAAACAACAGTTGCACACAGATGAAAGTCTGGCAAACAGATGCAGGAGCGAGTCCAGCACATCCCTGCTGCTCAGAGCCTGTGAGGAGAGAGGCAGTTGGGCTCCCAATGGCCATCCCTGCAGCTGGCTTGTGTCCTTGATGTGGTGGCATAGAAGTCTGACTTATCTGCATTGCACCTTAGCCAGATTAGAGGTGCAAAGTGTAGCTGCTCTGATCAATGCTCCCAACGCACACATAAGCTTATCAGAAGCCTGGTGCAGAGCCTCCAGCAGTAACCCCAGGATAGGCTTGGCAGTAGGAGCTGGGGCCAAGGGACCATGCCAGCAGGCTCCCACAGTGCCACCCTTGCAGCAGGCTACAACCCAATGCCATGATTCCAGTCAGGAGCAGAAGGTTGGGCTCTAATTGTCAACCTGTGCTCTTTTCATAAAAGTTATAGGTGTAAAACATGCCACATCAGAGCCAATGTGAAAAGTCTGTAAAAGGAAGTAAAAAGTCAGATGGAGGGTTGTTTACTAGTTTGGTTTTTGTTTTTTTCCCCTTCAAAAATCTCCAGTGCATTGGGTGCCACCTCCCCTTCTGAGCACAGCCACATCTGTACTCACAACCACAGGGGAAAAAAGTCTTTGCAAGCAGATGGACAGACCATTCAAAGGGGTCACCACAGCCAGCACGGCCACAGGCTGGTGGCTCAGCATCTGGAATGTTTTGCTGCCTAGGCAATAAGTAGTTATACTGCATGTGACAATACTGAATGTAAGCACCACCAAAAATAATGTTACATCTGCATGCACCGCTAGCATTACTTCTTGAAGTTAATCTGAAGTGCAAGATGACATTCTAACATACTCCGTTTTATTGAAGGACTCCTTTATGACCCTGTTTCCCTCTTCTTTCTTTTTAGAGAACAAAGGGCAAAAGCTTAATTTAGGGCACAAATGCCACGTGACGATGCTTTTATTAGCATGTGGCTTGCAAAAAACTCAGTGTTTTAATTTCTCAATATTTGAAAAATCCATAAATTGGGGATTTTTTTTTCCACTCTACTTTGATCAGCTCAGTTACAAAATCTAAGATCTATTTTTAAAGTAAATGGTTAAACTTTCTAAACATACAAGGAAGGGGCTTACTAGGGTTTTAGAGGCTAGGTGCACACAATCTTGGAATAGGAGTGGGTATGCAAAGCAGTGTGCTTGCCCCCCCTGCACCAACACGCAATTTGCAACATTTTTTTTTACATTCTAGATACAGTAATTCTGTTTTTCCTCGTTTGGTGCCATCCCAGCTCCAAGTTCACTCCTCATATACAGTAGATAGTGTCAGTCACCCTACAGCTAACTCAAAAAAACATTAAGTTCTTGAAAAAGTACTCTCAGACGATTAACTATCTCAGACTGTAATGTCCAATGAACGCTGCTTGGATAAGGAAGGAAAAGCTATAAATTGACCTACTGCAGCCTTTGTCTGTCTTCCTGTAATCAGCCCAAACCAATTTAGTTCCTGAGGTGTAAAAATTTTTCATTCATAGCTATGTCAGCAACTGGTTTGCATATTACAATACCTCTATGAGCCGGTCTGGTTCACTCCCTTCTTCCACAGTAATTAATTTAGACCTTCCATTTCGTTCATTGTCCCGAATGCCAATAGCAACCTGAGTAGCCTTCAGCCTCTCGTATTTATTGCATGATGAGCCACACCACTGATAGATTTCCTAAAATAATGAAAAGAAGACACATGTTAGCAATAGGATTCAACACAACAAAATTATGAAACTTATTTAATTAATAATTATCTTACTGGATCTAAAGCACCAGAACATCAGTGAAGCTACATCTTTCAGAAATACTTTCTAGAAGAGACTTGCATTAAGTCACATAAATACTTGTAGAATCTATGACATAGTCTCAAACTGCACCAGGGGAGATTTAGGTTGGACATTAGGAGAAAATTCTTCACAGAGAAGGAGATTAAATATTGTAATGGGCTGCCCAGGGAGGTGGAGTCATCACTGTTCCTGGAGGTGTTTAAGGAAAGACTGGACATGGCACTTTGTGCTGTGGTCTAGCTGATGTGGTGGTGTTTGGTCAAAGGCTGGACTTGATGATCTCAGAGGTAATTTCAAACCTAATTGATTCTGTGATTCCATAATATGCAAGTAAGTTGCTGGCTCAGGGACTTTGTCAGCATCTTTGCCAGCTTTACAAGGAGCATCTCAGACACCACAGCAGCAGCTCTTCATGCTCTGGTAGCAGTAGCCCCACCAGATATCATCCTGTGGGCCTTTGAGGCCTTCCTCTCATCTGACTGAACAGGTAAGACTTGCACATGACAAGAGAAGTGCAATTCAGCCAAAATGGAGCATAATCCCAAGGCACCTCTCAGGAAGGAGAGCTACTAGAATCAGCCTAAGACAAGTCACCTGATTCAGTCACACCAGTGACATCAGTTCCCTTCAGACCAAAGACCTCCAATTTTGGCAATTCCCATTACTCATCGTGAACTCAAAATCATTTCAGAACAAAGAATTTAGACCTCAGTCTTGATGAAAAATATTACCAAGAGGCAAAACATAAGCTGCAGAACTACTGAAGGTTGAGCTGCAAGGAATTAGTCAAATTAAATTACTGATCTTGGATTGTTGCTTCTCCTGGAGGAAAGCAATTTGATTCTTCACATGACTCTTATCAAATAGCCCAGTTAGTAGAAATTTCACAGTAATTTTTACCTTTAAAAAAAAGTTGAACTGGTTTGTGAAATGCAAATAAAGATTGAATCAGAGCCCTCACTAAGTTACTGGAGATTAGTTTTACAATGCATATAAAACTGCATAAAACCTAAATCTAAGACGAAAACATGTTTCATTCAAAAAAAGCTTTTTAAGCTATTTCTGCTAACCACCACTGTTCTTTAATAGTATTTGAAATGATGGCTTGAGACAAGCAAGAGATGAAGTACAGCTTCCCAGTACTAGCAGATGCAAATTTTTAGGAGACAGCTCACATTGAAGCAATTTGCAAGCAAAACCAATGCTAGTTACTTCCGTTATTTATTCTTGACAAGCTTAGACACAAAAAAAATCCCTACAAACTCAGTGATGTCACTGTTCCCTGCCAACTTCCTTTCCCTTCAGAAGCATCTTCAAAGACACCACCAGATTCCCAGAAATGTATCCCTTTCAACTAGTTTCATTCTCATCCTGGCTTACCTCTTACTAATTGAGCTTATTTGCAATTACATGAGAAAACAGGAGTCACTAGAGATAGTGCAGCAATAAACAGGAATTCTTTATTTCCTACAATCTATAGAAGCAATAAGGAAGAAAAAGAAGTCATAACAGAGAACTAGCTGAAGAGGTCAGGCAGCTATTGCCTTATCTCACTGTGGGTGCTGCAATTCACGGAGATTACTCATTCAGCAAGGTTAAAAGTTCAACTTCAGCTGTGCCCATCACCCTTCTGTAGGTCTTTTGGTAAACGGCCATGCAACCTCAAACAAGCAGTCACATCTACAAAAATGAATTGTGAATGATGTACTGACAACACAGGATATTGTGAAATTACAAAGACCTTTACTTCTTGGGCAATAAATTCACATTTTCTTTTCTTAGCATCTACATGGTGCACTGCACCCAAGCTACCCCACATTCATAGTTTATTTGCCCAGTTTGCCTTCAGTCATCAAGTGACTAAACTGAGCTCTTCTACAATCTACTAGCTCTAGGCTTCAAATCAGCCTGCGGAAGGAGAAAAAAGAAAAATCTACACTAATGGACTTCAGATTTTCAGATTTCATTATTTTCCTTAGGAGTCCACAATCCCAAAAAATAAAGTAGCCTGGATACTTTTGTCATAAACTAAAATAAATACGAATTTTTTTATTAGCTGGAACTTTCAGAAACATTATTCATAAGACTTTCTTCTGCTCCACAAAACCCCCTTAAAACAAGCAGTGTCTGAAAACATCCTTGATCTGGATTTCACAAGCTCCATCTTTCCTCGTTATTTAAAAAAAATACTGATTTTAAAAGCTAGAGAAAAAAGAATCTGATTCTCTTCAGCACTAGAGAATAAAGACAGTATTCTTTATTAAAAATCCTGAAAGCTAAACTTTACGTACTGTATGATCTAATAAAAGGAAATGAGCAGCCACAAGTCATGAAAGTGTCCCCAATTACATAATAGTTTACTATTCAATGAACACTAAACAAATCTCTTAAGCACTCAGTGCTACAAGCTTTCATGAGCTTAGATTTCATTAATTTTGTCTTCTGAAGTAAAATTGTCTCATTTTATAATATATCTAATTTTGAGGCCTCATGGTAGAGAAGCTCTGCTGGATATTTATAAGTTTGTCTTCCTGATGCAACTTATCCATTTCAACTTCTAGACGGATTGGATTTTTCAACAATTTCAAGCCAGAAAATGATTTTTAAAAGTTACAGCCACTTCTTGACAAGGTTAATATTTAGATCTGGATTTACCTGAAATACAGTCAGCTAGTTATCTAACCATGTTCAACAGACTACTGAGCTTTTGGGTTGTATTTTATTATTTCTGTATTTATTTTTAGACATATAAAGGGCTCAACTACAGCCAAAATATTAGCTTTAGCTCACTCAGTGCTTTCACAATTTCTTAGCTGTATGACACCTTCACTATTTTTAGGCTTGTTTTGCTGACTTTATTTTGAATTGGTGGGCTGCCAAAAGCTGTTTCCATGCAAATGAAAACAGACTTCAAGTGTTCACTCACCTCAAAATAAAAGGACCTTCATTCATCAGTAACTCCTGTGCCAATCCCAGTTTATTTTCAGAAGTTTGTACTTGCAGTACTTGTTTTTTTAAAATTTCTTTAACAGAGTTTGAGAGAGATGCTATGGAAGAAAGCTATTCTGCTACTTTTATTAACAGTTATTGATATAATTATGCTTGTCAGACCGCAGTGGGACAATTAACAGCTGAGAGTGAGGAAATGTTACAGTGAATAATCACAATGACCACCCTAGAGCTGCTTGAGGGAGGTTGGGAAGCTCTGGGCCATGACCACTGTTGTCATAGCAAGGTCTCTCCTCATCTGCACATTTTGGGGACACAGTTTGGTCTTCTAGTCAGAGCATCAGGATTCACGGCTCCTACTCACAGAATCACAGAATATGAGGAGTTGGAAGGGACCCTCAAGAATCATCAAGTCCAACTCTTAGCTAGCCTTGCACAGGACCATCCCCAAGAGTCACACCATGTAGTTTCTGGCCCACAAAGTGACCTTGAGGAAGTCACATGATATTTCTACAGCTCATTAAAAATGACCCAACATTTAGCTTCTATATAGAAGTGTGCAGCAGGATGATTATGCATGGCTCATGTAACTCTGAGCAAGAGCACCTTGGCACTTTTCCCTGTATGGAGGGGATGGTGAAAGTACACCTCCTGCTTCCTGGTCCAGCCCCAAACGGCATGTAGAGCAAGAGAAAGAAAAACAAAATCACTCGTTTCAAAAGTGACATAAAAACCAATTTTCCCCTTCTAAAGACATAGTCACCTCTGTATTCAACTGGCACTCTGCTCAGTTTGGAGGCAAATGAAAATAAACTCTGCATCCCGATGTCTTTTCTGATGTCTTTTCTGTGGACATCAGCCAGGACAATGACAGCAAAACTCAAGAAGCTTAAATCCATGAAGAACTCATTTTTGCTCTGGTTAAACATGTCCTAGACATGCAAGTGTTTTAGACTTACATGTTTTTTGAAATACCTACTCATTTCCAGACTCCTACTGTAATTGCTGATTTGCATTCTCTTAAATTAAGAGACATTACAAAGCTAAACAAATTAAGCCGGTTTCAAAACTCTAACTTGAAACAAGATTGTGGCGAAACTTCAAATTTCATAGAAAACAATGAAATGTTTAAGAGATTTGGCCTCATTAATCTTAAAATATTAAAACAAAAATTCAGTCTTTCATTGAGGGAAGCACATAAACTGGTGTGCCTCCATTCACTGTTTGCAGGCCCTGATACACCCTAACCTGTCTACCTTTGACCACATCTACACCAGAATGTGCTCCCAGACTGTAACTGCACCTCAACTGAAAAAAAAAAAAGAATAAAATTTACCACTCCTAGTTCAGAGACAGCTAAATCTATAGTGTGGATTCTGTCACATCAACATAACATAATTTATGCTGAATTTATGTCAGTCAGGATGCTGCCTTCTGTTCCTGTAAACCACAGCATTAGGAGCATGAGAGGCTCAGCTATAAAGCAGAAGGACTTAGTACAAAAGGGTTCAGCTAAATCTGCTCACTCCTGTGAAACACCTCACTACACTAGCTTCACCCATAACAAAAGAGCTAAAAGCAAGAAAAGAAGGTTTGTAACATTATAACTGCCTTAGTTCCTCTCTTCTCTTTGGCTCAGCTGCATGTGTTCAGAAGCAGATGAGAGTCCAGATAAATAACCACATAATACAGAAAGCCACTGTAGTGGTTTCACAGCAGGTGAGGCCAATGAGGTTTGTAAAGAAAGGTGGGTCAGAGAGAAGTTGTGATGGTGGAGTGCCCGAAGGACCCAGCACTCCTAATGCTCACCTCCTGAGGGAAGCAGAAAAAAACCATGGAACATGCATAAATACTGGCAAAGATTATATATATATGATTCTACTATCAAAATAATTGGGATGCACTTAACTGAGACTCCGTTTTCTTCAGTCATTGAT